CACTGGCAAACCTCTACGATGCCTAGCTAGTGAGGAAATAGAAGAAGCATTAGATGCAGCCCATAACTCTGAACCAGCACTACACCAAGGACAGCTAGCCTTACACACCCACCTTCTACACTTAGGGTTTTATTGGCCGACAATGATGGAAGATACCCAGAAGCACATACACACCTATGCTATAAGCGGGTTGCATACCTTGTACACATTGTTCAACAAAGCTTTCTCAATGACATGTTCGTCGAAGACCGAGTGGGTCAATTTCTGAAATCTCATCACATAGGCTAAGAGGTCTTCCCCTGTGCGTTGCTCTGTATTGCACAGGTCCGCCATTGTCAGCCTCCGTTCCAAGGTGAACCAATTGGATAGAAATCTCTTCGTCAGCTCTGCCCACGAGTCTATGCTTCCCGCGGTCAGGTTGACGAACAAGGTGTAATCCACTCCGGTCAAAGATTTAGAAAACTCCCTAACTTTCAAATCTCCATCGAGGGCAAAAGATCCCAGAACGTCCTCGAACTTATTCGCATGCTCCTTAGTGCTTCCTTTTTGCCCGTCATACTACGGCCACTGCTGGGGAGGGACGTAACCGATGGGGTATGGTTTGTAGAGGATTCGGTCAGAGTAGGGTTTCTACAAGACAAGAGAGACTTCGGTTTTGCTTTGATTTTCCACCACTGGCCCTTGAACATATTCTTTCAGTTCGTCATGGCTGAGTGGTGCTTCTACAACTGGGTTGGTCTAAGGGGTGGTTCGAGGCTTTTCAATAGTGGGTTGGTTAGTTTGCATGGGTGCAGGGCTGGCTCCCATAGGCTGCTCAGGGATAGCAGATTTCTGGTTGGTGGACTGGTGACTGGCAAGGATGGATTATGCTAAGGGAGCGGCTGGGGTGAAAGGTGATAGTTCGGCCCCAGTCGACCATTGGAGGAGGAGTTGTAGGGTGGCCCGCATCTCATTCTGCATTTGTTCTATTCAGTCAAAACGGGACTCGAACTTGTAGACTTTGTTTGACAGTATTTCAATGTCGACTTGTTTAGCCGACTCCATAACAATGTGATCTCCTGTCTCCAGGTCGGCGTTCTCGTGGTCGTTGATGGATTCTTCGGTGATGGAAGAAAGGTTAATCCTGTAGGCGGCCATCCTCTGTGATCAAGGGATAATCAGAGATTCTAATGTGAGGGAGGTGGTTAGGCTACGTACGGGGTCTCCTTGAAGGACAAAGGAAAGTCAAGTGTAGAAAGTGGGCTAAAGGTTAGGGCAGATGAGGTGATAGAATGATCCTCTCATTATGAGTTGGACCCCTATTTATAAGGAAAGATCCCAATGTCCCAAAAGGAATGAGAGAAAAGTGTTTGATTCCCATTAGGAAAGGGAATCTCAGATTCGATGTTAGTTGTCAGGGAGCACTCCTAGGGTTTTGCCACGTGTCTTACGAGATATCTCAAGGACGAGTTTTCCTTTCGCTTAAGGATTCTCATAATACACGTGTGCCACTCCCTTTCGTGACCCTCTTAAACCGACATGGCGCGGATGACGTCACTACTTATCTTGTGTGTTCTTTTTAAGCCTACGAGGCATCTCGTCACATGCGTTGTTTAATGACGCATGTGTTTCTTTTAGTTGTTTCTGATTTACGATGAGCATCGCGGTTGTACGATGACCTTAAGTTCATCGCAAGTTCGCGTGGATCTAAAGCTCATTGCAACATGTTTCAGATCATGAGTTCATCACAAATGTGTGATGAGTTGTGGATTCATCCAAGCATTCGTGTTGGACTGGTTTAACACCTTTTATGCTATGATGGTTTAAGTGACCACTATGTACCTACACCTTGTGACCAAGGCAAGGAACTAACCCATTGCTCAATGTTACACATATCAAGCATCACTCTAGTGTGAACAATTTGGTCAAGAACTTTTCAACCAATTCCTCCCATGAATTGTGGAAGTAATTTCAATAAAATGATAAAACAAAAACTATGTGCCTGAAAAAGGTGATGGAAAAAATTTAGTAGTTTCAATAAAATGACAACAAATATCAAAGTTTTTATCAAAACCAGATTTAGTTAGGCCCGTTTGAACAGCCTTTATTGCCTTGCTTTGGAAATATCTCTCCATGAAATAAAGCATACAAGTATGGAGATATTCCAACGACTCTTGTAGTGACTGGAAGCCAGTCTCGTTTTTATCACTATTTTGTAGTTAAAATTATTTTAAATCAATTTTCATTTTATTAATTTTTATTGACCGATAAGATATTTGAATGAAAGCAACTAAAATTAATTATACATTTAAAAGAAATGGAAACAAGACAAAAAGAGAAAGAAGAGAGAAATGTAGAAAAGAAAAAAATGTAATACCAAAAAGAAACCCAGAATTTATGACCGATCAATACCCTTAAGGCGTTCTCACACGCTAAAATAGACAAGACACACAATCAGAACTTAAAACTGATAGCCTGATACTCTCTGGCACCCATAAATTAAGAAATGGATAGTGAAACACTAGTGGCACACACTCGAATTTATCTAATAGCAAGATTCCGAGTAAAAAACTTTCCTACCTCCTTTCGACTCACTGGAATTTATCTAAAAAGATGAGATTTACAGCTTACACAGGAATTTATCTAACTCCTTTGACTCACCTTCTTTTGCTAATAGCATCCTTTGCCCTTTCCAACTCCATCAGCACTATCGGGTTTGATACCGATTTCGTCCTCTCCACTTCCTAATTCGGACTCGGTCGGCCCTCTCTAATCCCGACTCTATTGTCCTCCCTCGGCTTTATGATTTTATCAACGTTTTGAACTCCCCCAGCGATAGCTTTCCTGCGACACCATTTCCAACATCTCCAACTCTCTCTGCACGAACTCGCTTATTGTGGGTTTCGTCCCTGTCGTTTTGGATACTTTAGCTTGTACAGGCTTCTCGCTTCCATCGTCACTAGTTCAAACTTCCTTGGCACCAACCCATTTGACAGTACCGTCTCCACTATTTCGAAATCCAACTTGCTGGCAGTTGATGCCTCCAATCTTTAGACTCCGTCCGACCAATTTTAGTACCCTCACCTATTAGAGCCTCCTGGGAATAAACTCAATTTCAATTAAATGAAGGAATGTCATTCTATTAGAAATGAGAATAGGATTCTAATTTCGTCCAATCAAACAGTTGGAATCATGGGTCATTCGATTTCAATTCAAACCCCTATTCCCACCGTCCAAAGGTCCTTATAACCCACATTATTATTATAGGTAATAAGAATGTAGTGTTAAGAAAATTTGTTTCAAGGCTCAAAACAATGACACACTCATACACCCCACTTTGCGTTCCAGAATATCAAGGTTTTTGACCAACACACGTCTTTTTTTGTCAAAATTTTACAAGGGTCGGCGACAAGGCTGATACCACCCAATTAGCCATGAAATTTTAAACCTTGTTCTTATAAGATAAGGCTAAGCCAAGACTGATAACTTCGAAACATCAAATATGATAGCACTTGTTTGTAACCTTTGATCGAACTAAAATGGAGCATAACCGAAAATTTCAAGAATCCTGGTCTATATATGTACAAGTAACAAGAAAGTTAAATACCTACATCACTTAATTCAATTATTGACCAATTTAATATTGCTTGCAATTTTCCCCATTTCTTTTATCCTGCGGGTATGGGGATGGAAAAATGTTCAACCCAAAGTTTAAAGTATAGACACGTATCGGCCCGTACCAGCCGATACATATCGTATCGAGAGCCCCCCGATATGCCCCTAAAAAGGATGTATCAGGGTTCTGACCGGTTCAGGGAGGAGCCTTAAACCAGCCCCCCTAAACTAGTTTTGAAAAATAAAAATAAAAAAGTAAAAATACAATAGCGATACCGCTTGATACGCCCCTACCGATGTATTGAGCATATCGATATTTAGAACCTTGGTTCAACCCATTGTTTTTAAATAAAATAAAAACAAGGTTCTAAATATCGATACACTCAATACACCGGTAGGGGCGTATCGGGCGGTATAAGTAGTCTTTTTACTTTTCTTTTTGAAACTAGTTCGGGGGGGAGGGGGGGGTTAGGATCCTCTAACCCCTGAACTGGTCAAAACCCCAATACACTCTTTGTAGGGGCACATCAGGATACTCCCAATACGATACGTGTCAATACTTTAAACCTTAAAATGATTGATATCATAAAAAAATCTGAGTGGCCATGCAGGGATGTAGATAAACCTTATCCCCATTGGCAGAGACAGAGACAGAGATAGGGTCCATAGGCTTTTTCATGGGGACAGATGGGGAGTCGCTCCCATCCCTGCCCCACCCCGTTGTCAGACCACGCAACCAAATCCATGGCTTGCTTGCATATTGGGGTGAGAATCTGGAATTGGGATCAGCCCCCAGCCAGTAGTCAAGACAGCCCTCACATCAGGGAGATGTTCCAGATGCGTGACTCTAGGTCTTGTTAGGAAGGCTTGTAGGCATGTTGGGAATATCTTTTGGGAGCTGATCCAGTTTCAAGCATCAGTGTAATAATAGCCAGATCCATTAGCAGTCCAACCTAGTTAGGGGATGAAAATTCGCGTTCGGGACCAAGCCCAAACTTAGTAGAAGCCGAACTAGCCCGACCTGAATTACCAGGGTCCAGGGCTCTTTAAAGGATTAGATGGGCCCAAGTTTGTAATAGAACCGTAAATATAAAATTACAAGTTTAATGGCACCATGTTCTACGTCTATGTTTCACTGAAATTGATATCCTCTATTCATTGCGCAAATTTGTCCAAAAGACAAGATCATGCCACATGAACAGAATTACAGAAACCTGCACTGTAACAAATTTGGATCTACCGATATCAAATAGGAACGGTCCAGACTAAATGAAATCCAGTGCAAAGAAACTATCAATACGTACACATCTGATGGAGGTTCTCTCACAAAAAAAACAGCACCCTGAGTTATTTGAGACGTTCGCACCAAAGATGCAGGGTGAATAAAACCAGAAACAGTTTGCAAATGGAAATCAAATCAAGAACTATTCACTTGAAATTGATAAGAAATAGTGATTGCCGAAAAGCCCCTGTTAGGCCAATCTGAGAACTGCAGATCATTATAGCTGTTTCTTTTACAAAAACCTAGAAAAGCCATAAGCAGTCCCGTTAACCAACCATTGTACAACCCCCAAATTCCCTAAACACTTCTAAAAAACTGAAGAAAAACAAAGGAAGAAAACAAACAAGAAAAATTAAGACAGGCCAAGGACACCTGACTATACCCTGTATACATTTCTAGTCCAAAATCTTCTTATGTACCACTAAATTACAAAGGAAATCAAAAGGCCACTAGCTTCTCACATGAGAACGGGCCCTCATGAAAAAAGAACAAAACCTCAAGAGGGGTTGTTGACCGCTAGATGAAACGGACCTGCAATTGGGGTAAGTCTCTCTCCCCCACCCACACTAGAAAACGAATACATAGCCAACAAAATCAATAACCATACCCAGTGGAGACCACCTTAATGATATCTTCCATTTCTTGCTTTTCGATTTGCTGTGCATCATTCATCTTTTCAATGTTACCATTTTCTTCACATTGCAGCGCTTGGTATTCCATGTTTATCAGGTTCAGCCAATGCTGTGACAGAGGACCACCAGCTCTTCTTAGTTGTAGATTTTCACTGGCTTCTCAAATGTGTGGCGGTTCTGCAAATTATGGAGGACAAAGATCCCAACAGAGGTGAGATCAAAAACTTCAACTATACTTGGTATTCTATCCCATACAAGTAAAAACATGTTAAAAAAACTGTCTAAGTAAAAACATGTTAAAAAACTATCCAAGTAAAAAAACTTAGTTGTAGATTTAATATCACTATCTAAGTAAAAACATGTTAAAAAAACTGACACTAAGCAAGAAATATACTTGGTATTCTATCCCATACAAGAAGAAATACCAATATCGATACACCCAATATGCACAAACAGGCGTATCAGGTATTTCAATGCTAAACTTTTTTTCTCAAAATTGGTCAGGTCGGTCTTAGGCCTGCCTACCCTCCGAAAAATACCCAAAATCCTGTATCTTCTACTTTTAGAGTACCGCTGATGTGTGGGTTGGAAGCACCGCCTTTTTTTGTTTGGAAACGTTGTTGCCAGGTAGGGCATTTCCTGGAGCAACAGCAACTTTTTTTGTTTGGTACCAATGCTCCAAGAAACGTTTTCAGCACTGGTACCCATTATCCAGTGCCACGTCACTGCCACCTCACGTACATGGCAGCAACAAGCTGCAGCTCCAGGAAATGCCAAATTTGGCATTGCTCCAACCCATGTCTTCCTGATGGAAAACCGTTTTTTATGGAAAAACGGTTCCAAACAAACGCCCATTTCCTGGAGAACCATTTTTTCCAATGTGGCGCTCGCTGATGCCAACAGATGCATAATGAACACTTGGTTGCATGCTCACCTGATTTGCTGCATAAGCCCTTTTAGGAGCACTATCAGAGTGTTCCAAACCAAGATACTGTTCCCAAGCTCCATAAACATCTCTTCTCTGAAAGAAAACAAGTCCAGAATTGGTGGTCAGCCTCCCACTAGAGGAAAGATATTTGGTATACAGTAGAAAAGGAATATATACGGACACTAACCTGAAAACGACTAGATACAATGTCGGAGTCCTGAAGATACTCGGGGCGACCCAATGACAAAAATGCAAACTTCCACTGACAGGAAGGAGTACAATCAGATCCATCACATGATATTAAATGAGGCAATCATACTGAAAGTGGATGCATTAGTAGAAGATATTACACTATTGCTACACTCGTCCCTAAGAATATTGTGATTGTGGGATTATTTTGTGATTGTCACCAGACTGGAAGTTTTGAGCTAAACATGTTAAAGACGGGATACCTATCTATCAGGACAATTCAGCCTGACCTTGTCCCTTCATATAAATTTCTTGCAAACCTTTAGACATGCACACAGAAACCTTCTATAAAAGGAAAAGGGAAAATACCTTTACAAACTCCTCATCTGGAACCTGCAGTTTCTTCTGTATACGGACTTTGACTTCAGCCAAAGTCTCACCCTCGTGGATGATCAAGAAAAATGGCTCCCCAAAATTCTGAACCTGCTGTTGAAACCAAAAAATAATTTTGAATAAAAGAATATTCCAACAGTTAGGCCATATAGATGCACAATAAATTAAGAGATAACAGTGCATATTGAGTTCATCCCAGCACCAAGCAAACTTTAATTAAAAGATAAAAGCAGATGGACAGATGGTGAGAAACCAAGTCAACAGTGCATAATGAGTACATAATCCATATATACCTACCATCTGGTTTTGAGATGCATCTTTGGTGAAGTGATAAACATGAATCAAACGATCATGAGGGCCAAGGTTTTTTTCTTCCTCTGGAATCTATGGAATTGAAAATTAAAGCATCAGTACATCCTCAAAACGCCAGAAATTCTACCAAACATATCAATCCAACACTTTCGAAAATTAACAACAGTATTTAACCCACTTTGGAGATAGGGTCAATAATGTTGAAACAGTATGTAGAGATATAGCAAAGGACCCTGAGTTGGTATTTCATATGTTTTTTATATGCAGCCCAATCTTTATTTTTATTGTTTTTTAGACTGCTTTTTGTTATTTTCTGTCATAGTTGACGGGTATTTTTGCCATTGTATCTTCATTTTATTGAATCAAGCAGGGCAAACTCTGTTCGGGCAGCTTTTACTGCCTTGCATTGAGAATATCTCCATACTTATATGCTTTATATCATGGGAAGATATTCCCGATGCAAGGTTGGGAAAGGCTGTTAGAACGGTATGGGCATAGATTTGCCCTGACTGAAGCCGGTCTCAAAAGGCAATGGGGGAGGAGGTGGCAGAACCTATTCATTCGGCTCTCTCTTCCTAACACTCTTTCTTCTCTTCTCCTTCTCTTCCTCTGTTCTTCCTTTTACTTTTCTAATTTTTCTGAACAGGTTTCGTACTAAACCTAAGACTGTTACAGCAACCTTTTCAAGTTGGTAGCAGAGCAGGTTTAGGTTTAGGGTTAGGTCTCACATATGTTTAACCGAGCTGGCTACATGAGACTCTATTAGGGCTGGAGATTGATGCCTGTTCAAACCTTTTCTGAACACTATTTTTTGCCCAGTGACCACGAAGGATCAGAGATATTTGTTTGATTGGAGTTTAGGGGTTAAACCTCAGTATGAAGGTGGCACTCAGTATATTCTGGGTGGTTTTCTGGTTCTTTTAGAGATCGACAGAAAAAGGAGGAGCTACAGAAGCTTCTGGAAGTAGCGGCTGGAGTTTTCTTGTGTTCTCCAAGCCATCTCAAGGTTCCTCCTTTTTTGGAACAACCACTTTTGAGTGACAGTGAACTGTGTGCAGCTTGGCTGCTGTATATTTTTTAAAAGGCCTTCCTTTATATCAGAAAGAAACCGAGCTGTATGATATCTTGCTGGTTGTGTGATACACAGTAACCTTCACATATTACTACCATTAAGTTTGATTGAGTGGGCTCAATCAGCTATGATGGCCATTGGAGGCAGGGTTAAGTTAGGGTATGTAATTGGTGATACCAAGAAGCCACCAAGGAAGATCCCTCCCATGCTAAATGGGTTCAAGAAAATTACCTAATTATGACTTGGCTGATAGTTCTGCAACTCAATGCAGCCTCATATCAGTAGAAACTACATCTGGGCAAAGACAGCTAAGGCCATTTGGGATAATATGAAGGAAACTTATTCTCAGCCCTTTGATTAGCCAGGGCTTATGAGCTGAAAACTGAAGTACCAAACCTGAAACAGGGGGTGAAACTTGTGTCGATTTATTTCTCAACTCGGTTTCCCTATGGCATGAAATTGATCACTTGGAGACAATTGAATGGGAAAGTCAAAAGGATGCAGCAATTAATAACAAATTAGTGGAAAGAAATAGGGTTTTTGAATTCATAGTGAAGCTGAATTCTGAATATGATATTGTAAGACAACTTCTCACTAGAGAAAGTGTTACCTTGTCCCAAGCCTATTCTTTGGTGCACAGTGAGGAGAGAAGGAAAGTAATGCTACAAAATTCCCAAATAGAATCAGCCTTATCAGCTATGAAGCCGAAGCATGGCAGTGATAAGGAGAGGGAAGTAAGGAAGAAAAAAATGGTAGTCTATGACTATTGCAAGAAACCTAGACACACCAATGACACTTGCTGGAAGCTTCATCCTCATTTGGTGCCTTCGGGATTTAAGAACAAGGGAAATACAAATGTAGCCACTACTACGGATGTCCCCTCTTTATCTTGAGCTACACCTATTTCCTTAGATGCCTTGGCTGTAGTTAAAAGAAGCATTGTTCCTTTTGAGATTGTGCATATTGATGTTTGGGGACCATATCATATCACTACTATGGAGGGATACAAGTATTTCTTGTTGTTTGTTGATGATTATTCCCATTTCTCTTAGATTTATCTTATGTGATCCCGTGATGAAGTTCCTATTTTGACTCATGCCTTCCACCAAGGAGTACTTCACTAAATCTTTGAACTCATACTTCGTTAAGTATGGCATTATTTTTCAGAGCACCTGTCCTCATATGGTCATACCCCCAAGTAGAATGGGGTAATTGAAAGAAGAATAGGCACACCCTTAAAGTTGCAAGAAGCATTATGTTAAATTAAAATATCCAAATTCGTTTTGGGGGGATGCAATTCATACAGTTGTGTATCATACTAACCAAGTTCCTTCTCGTGTTCTTGGTAGGAAAGCACATTTCACTTTATTGTATCATGAGAAAGACTTGTTTACCATCCCTCTTAAAGTCTTTGAATGCACTTGTTTTGTTCAAATTTTGGGACCTCATCGTTCTAAACTTGATCCGAAAGCTACCAATGCATATTCCTCTTTCTGGCTCTCAGTTTGTGTCTATGAATGCCACCCCACTTTTTTGAGAGGTGTTTTTGTTCCTAAAGTTCCTTTGCCTATTCCTGTTCTTGAAAGGGAATTGTGTAGTGAGGATCATTGTCAAAAATGCGAGTTACAACTTTTTCACACTTGAACAGCCATTGTGACGCTAGGTTCAAATACTACAGCTTTAGTTTCCATTTTGGTACTCTTACAGGTTAGTATGTAGTGAGGTTCATTTCGGTACTCTTGAACCTGTAAGAGTACCAAGATACTACAGCTTTAGTTTCCATTGTGGTACCAAGTTCAAATACTACAGCTTCACCTCCTAATCCTCAAGGTTCATAGTATCAGAAACGCCAAGTGTATTGGAGCAATTTTAAGAGACGTACCAAGATACGCCTTGGATACGCATGCATATTGGAGAAAAACTAAGATACGTATCGATACGCTTGGAAAAACTATAAATACTATAATAAATCATAAAAATACATCAACAACACTAAATATAAGACCTCAATAAGGTGTATATACATTAAATTAATATATTTTAATGGTTTTATGAAGAAATATATTGCAGTTAATTATGATTTCATTAAAAGTCCCATGCTTAACTATAATTTATAAATTATAATTCTTAAGTTTTAATGTTTTATGGGATGGGAAAAACCCAACTCTTCTATCCAACCATAAAACATGCATTGGCTTCTAAGTGAAAATATAATAAATAATTATTTACTATTTATCATTTATTTCCAAAAAATATAAAAAAATAAATAAACATTATATAATATATTCAAAAAATAGTTATTAAAGAAGAAATTTCAATTGCTTTGTGGATATGATAGATCATAGAATTATAAATTATTCAATCATTGTGATCATAATTAATTACTTATTTATTTTTTAATTATTAAACATGAAATTTCAATTGGTCTATGGATATGATAGATCATCCATAGAATTATAATATATTCAATTGTTGTGGTCAAATGATAAAATATAATTAATTATTATTTATATTTTCATTCTAAAAATATAAAAAATAAAAAAAAAAATTAAGAAGAAATTTCAATTGCTCTATGGATATGATAGATAAATCCATAGATCTAAAACATATTTAGTCTTTATAGGCAGAGAAAATATTACATTTTCGATTTTTTTGTTAATTTACATTTTCACCAAATATCTTCATGAAATTTCCATAAATCTACAGATAACACAAAAAAAAATTGTGATTTTGAATGCAAGAATTGTAGATCAACATAAACTTAAACATTCAAGAAAAAATAAGAAATCACAAGATATTATTATAAAAAATTGAAAAACTTTACCTATTTTTACTATATTTTTTCAAAATTTGAAAAATCTTCAAAAAAAAATAGCAATTCACATTTGTTTTTTGCAAATTTTTGCAAATCTAGCACTCTAGGAATGAGGTTTGGAGTTTTAGAGTCATTTGGGAGTGAAAGAAGCATTCTTTCAGGGAGAAGAAGCTTGTTTTCCCCTATTTTTTTCAGTTTTTGGACGTATCTATTTCATCTATACGGGTCTAATACGCATGAAAAAAGACGAGACGCCCGATTTCCATTTGTATCCCATATCTGTTTTTCAAAGATACGACACGATACGCCCCGTATCAAGCGTATTGTATCGAAATTTTAAACCTTGCTAATCCCACATCCGCCACCAAAGAGTCTCTACCTTGTACAGATGATCTTGGCCTTCCCATATTGCATTTCACAAGGGAAAACAGAGATGCACTACCTCCACTACACATTGCATGTCTCATTTTCTTTCTTATGACCACCTTTTACCATCCTATAAATCCTGTTTGGCATACATTTCTGCTATATTCATCCTAAAACTATGCAAGAAGCTCTATCTATGCCTGAGTGGAAGGATGCAATGTGACATAATGAAGATGGGCGTTCACTGTGAAATATAATGCAGATGGATAAATTGATAAAGCCCGACTAATTGCAAAGTGTTATATACAAACCTATGGTATTGATCACTTTGAAACCTTTACACCAGTTGCCAAGATGAACAAAAATAGAGTTTTGTTGTTCCTAAATAGTGATTTAAAGGAAGAGATTTATATGAAGTTACCTTTCGGTTTCTTTAATACAGATATAGGCAAGAAAGTATGTAGACTGAAAAAGCATTGTATGGTGTAAAGAAATCTCCAAGGGCCTGGTTTGAAAGATTTAGGCTGGCTTTAGAGAAATTTGGCTATGTGCAGGCCCACTCAGATCATACTCTTTTAATTAAGAAAAGTGGTTCCTCTTTGACACTTGTTGTGTATATAGATAGACATAGTAGTAACAAGACTTGGGTCATCTCCGGTATTTTTTGGGAATTGAGGTGGCAAGATCTAAGCATGGTATTTTCATTTCCTAGAGAAAATATGCTCTTGACCTTTGGAAGAAGAAAGTGAACCTCTTGATGACAAGAACATGTATCAATGACTGGTAGGAAAGCTATTGTATCTTTGTTTGACTCGCCCTAACATCTTTTATGTTGTTAGTATTGTTAGTCAATACATGCATTCTCCCAGAACCACTCATTTGTTGGCTGTTGGGCTGGATGTGTTGCCAATAAGAGGTCTACCTATGGGAAAGAATACATATCCATGACTCATGGAGCAACAAAGGTCATAAGGCTGAGATCCTTAATTAAAGAACTTGGAATTGAATAGGAGTAGAGGTGTAAATGGTCCGTGCCGTGCTGGGTCGGGAATTCGTAGTCCACGGCCCGTCACAGGCCAGCACAGCACGGCCCGTAGTGGGCTGCACTCAGCCCATCCGAAAAATAGTCGTGGGTCGTGCAAAGCCGACCCCCAAAATTTTCACCGGGGAGGGCGGTACGGCCCGTGACGACCTGCGGGCCAGCACGACACGACCCACTTTACACCTCTACCAACGGCTAATTTCAGCTTTGGGGGGGTTTACATAAATACCCCCTAACAGCTATAAACAAGCTATATAGGAGGGATATTTATGTATTTTGCTTATGGAGGGGAGTAAAATGACACAAATGCCCCCCAATAGCTATATAACTAGTTTAGGGGGCTTTTAAGCATCTCCAAGCCCAAGCATCTACCTCAGCCTTGGGAAAGCAAATGTTCGTGGAGCAGAAAAAGAATTCTTCTGCATCAAGGGATCCACTAATCAAGTTGAAGCAATCTACAAGGGCATAGCCATCTTATTTGTCTTGGGTGGGCAATGCATGTATTTTGTATGTAGGGGAATGCCAATGGTATTATTGTAAAGGTTAAGCATGGGGGCTCCCTAACATATCAATTGTGTGCCTGTACTTAACATATAAATGCAATACAACGTATCTTTTTACTAATTTGTATGCCATCATTGTAGCATTTTGTTGCTTGTTGTCAAAGGCTTCCTCGACACCTTCGGGCACCACAGGAGGCCTCAATGATTAGCCCCATGACAATATGACATAAATGTATGCCAATTTGGTGTTTTTCTCATTGGTTCATTAAGTAAAATCAAAAACACCCAAGCCCAAAGGGTAGGTGAACGGAATTGTGACCAAAATATACATGCACATATAGCAATCATTGCAATCTCAACCTTTTCCAATTGACCAATACATGGAAAAACTACATTATAGATATTTTTTTGGGATTTTGTTGTCAAGGATCCAAGCCCAAAGTCAAACGGTCTAAAGACTCTAGACAAGGACCAAGAGATGTAGTATGAAGCATAAAATTCATAAAAGCAAAAGCAAAATAATAGCATAGTAAATGCTACTTTCAATGGTCTACCTATGTGAAAGATAATATTTACCTCCTCTGCACGTAATGTCCAATATTGATCATTTATGTTCTCAATCTTTTCATTCGGTGGGAAAATCTACAAGCAGGTGGCAGAGAATTATTTGGTAAATCTAAAAAGAAAGAGGAAAAAAATGAACTATCCCTACTTTAGCACAAATTTTCAAATTGCAGGCTGCATCTCAAGACAAATTGTAGTCACAATCAAAAGCATAACATGGTTTACAAAGCTCCAGTCTCTTAAAAGGAGTCACATCAAACAAACTTAGCCAAATTGAATTAGCTTGTAATCTCTTAACCACCATTTCTAATACTTCGGCTCAAAAAGGACCCAACACAAATAAAAAACATACCTTGTAAATTTTGTGGTAGAAGACTTCAAGCAATCTAAGTTCTGCATTTGGATGAGATAGCTCAACCTGTTCCAGAATGTTACATATGATAAGTGGACCTAATTAGAGTAAAGCTGGGATAGTTTTATTATGTAAAATTATGTATAGTTAACAAATGTTGGATAGATTCTTCATAACAAGAAATGGAAGTTTTCTCTTAGGCTATGCTACCATTAAAATATTGAAAATAAAGCAGATAAACTTAACTCTTAAAAGCTTGCCATCATAGTTGCCAAGGTGATGCCTAGGCACCTAGGCGCCTAGGCATTTTTTGGGTCTCACCTGCTCAAACAACATTTTCTTTCATAAAATAATATGTTTCATATAGTTTCTTATTTCATTAAAATTCTGATAGCTATCTTTAGACTGGAGAAACAAGGCTATCCATTCAAAGTATTTGAAGAAACAAGTAAAATCAACAATCATAGAAGGTATGCTCATATGCTCCATCCCTTCTGGATCAAAAACAGGGTCTCCGGCCCCTTCTTTTTCTTTTTTTTTGGAACTAAAACAGGGGCTTAGCCCCTTCTTTTTCTGTTTTTTCGAACAAAAAAAGGGGCTTCTTTTTCTTCTTCTGGAAACAAAAACGGGTTCCACCCTTTACTCTCCATCATTTCTAGGGATTGTATTAAGATTTCCTTTTTCTATGACAAAAACAGGGGCTATGGCCCTTCTTTTACTCATATTTTTACAACAAAAAAAGGGGCTCAGCCCCTTTATTCTGTCCTTGTTTGAACATTAAGTGACACCTAGGTGGGCGCCTAGGCAACTAAGCAGTCTCTTGTCGCCCAGGTTCACCTGGCACCTTGAAAACTATGCTTGCCACCACTTTCAAATTGAAACAAGAAAAAAATCACAGCTCAACATAGAAAAGAATGAGGTTAGGCCTACCTTTGTTTTAAGATCATTAATCACATCCCCAACAGTGCTCTGTTTTGGAAGTCTAATGCTGTGAATAACCACCTGAAAACAATAGATCCACATGGAAACCCTTATATGATCATTAAAGCCATGTGACCATTTGATTATCAGTTTACCACACTCACCTCATCCTTCATAGAGGAATGAAAAGCCACCTTAAGAGTCTTTAGACCTTGCAATTCTGGAAGAGGGATGTCCAATACTTCATAATACAAAATATCGGAAGTCTGTCAAAATGAAATCCAACACAATTTTGAGCCTGTCTACATTTTTTCTATTAAAAGAATAGAATAATAGTCATAAAAACATAAAAAGGACATAATAAGCTTATGAAAAGCCACATGCATGTGCTGCAGTACCTGATTGTAATGGACCAACATGTCTGATAAATGCTCCACACCACGGTACTTAATAGGTTGGGGTTTAGGTTGCTGAGAGTAACAGTTGTGAGATGTAAGTCTAATTTTGGAAGGATCATCCAAACCAAGTTGACGAGCAACTCTTTCCACAACATCATCGTAGGTATAAAGCTTTGACCTTGATATTCACATGGGATAATGGTATACATAACTATACAAATTGACAGAAATTGATAAACCAAGTATTAAAAATAATGAAAATAACAATAATAGAAGTGAGCACTACTTACAGCTCTAAACAGAATTCATCCTCCTTGGGTTTATCCAGAGACCGGAAATGAACCACCTAGAATTTCAAAAACAAAAACAAATAATTGATAAGAGAACAAGAAAAATGATATTGCTTGGAAGCCGTGGATGCTATAATTTAATACTCAAGCATCAAATCAATGTAATCAAAACCATATCATCAAGCTACGACAGCAATGAAAATGCATATAAACGGATTTAGAACTTGACTTTGAATTCTTACAACTCATATTTATATAAATAATTGTTTATTGATTCAAATCATGCATAGGTTTGTATGTAACCCTTTGCAATTAGTCAGGCTTCATATCTTTCAATTTTTCCATCTACATTATGTTTCACAGTGAACACCCATCTGCACCCAATTGGTTTCTTTCCTTCAGGTTGATCAATCAACTCCACATCTCTTTTTAATGAGTACATTCATTTCCTCCTCCAATGCATCCTTCCACTCAAGCACAAATAGAGCTTCCTGCACAGTTTTAGGGTGGATATAGCAAAAATGGATGCCAAATAAGATCTATAGGATGGTAAAAGATGGCATAAGAAAGCAAATGAGATATGCAATGGGTAGTAGAGGCATCTCTATTTTCCCTCACGAACTGCGATGGAAAGGACAAGATCATCTGTACAAGGCAAAGGCTCTGTGGTGGATGTAGGATTACTAAGCGAAGCTGTAGTATTTGAACCTAGTGCCGCAATGGAGACTGGAACTGGCCTAGGCTGTTCCAGATTACCAAAATGATCCTCACTACATACAAACCTACAAGAGTACCAAAATGGAAACTGAAGCGGTAGAACTTGAACCTGGTGCCGCAATGGTTGTTCAAGAGTGAAAAACCTGTAACTCCTTGCATTTATGACAATGAACCTCACTACACAATTCCCTATCTCTGATATTAAAATGGAATTGTGTAGTGAGGATCATTGTCATAAATGCAAGGAGTTGCAGGTTTTTCACTCTTGAATAGCCATTGTGGCACCAGGTTCAAACACTACAGCTTCAATTTCCATTTTAGTACTTTTATAGGCTTGTATGTAGTGAGGATCATTTTGGTACTCTTGAACAGCCTAGGCCAGTTCCAGTTTCAATTAGTACCAGGTTCAAATACTACAGCTTCACCTCCAAATCCAACATCTGCCACCTCAGAGCCTGTACCATGTACAGATGATCTTGACCTTCCCATCGCAGTTCACAAGGGAAAATGGAGATGCACTACCTCCACTACCCATTGCATATCTCATTTTCTTTCTTATGACCGCCTTTTACTGCCCTATAAATCCTAGTTGGCATCCATTTCTGCTATATCCATCCTAAAACTGTACAGGAAGCTCTCTCTGTGCCAGAGTGGAAGGATGCAACGAAGGAGGAAATGAATGCACTCATTAAAAATAAGACGTAGGAGTTGGTTGATCAACCTGAAGGAAAGAAACCAATTGGGTGCAAATGGGTGTTCACTGTGGAACATAATGTAGATGGATTAATTGAAAGATATAAAGCCCGACTAATCGTTTATTGAACACACACAAATGGGCTAAATTTCCTAACAGATTTACAACTTGACTTTGCACTCTTATAATCTCATTTTTATAAAAATAATCGTTTATTGAATTAAAAACAAAAAGGCAAGTCATAAGGACATAACAAGGGAAAAACTAATACACAATGGAATAAAAACTCTGCACACACTCTACAAGCATGGGAGCCCAACCACACATTGAAAACATCTCCCCATGAATTTTTCATGTACAGAAGATATTCTCAATGTCCAGCTAGATGATATGTGGACAAAGTTAATGCTTGCAGGAGATCCGGGCTGGGGAGGGGGAGTTGGAAGCTTGAAAACTATTGTTAATTAATCAAAGTTTTAGTAAACCAGACCTGACGATTATGTACATACTCCAAAAATGAAGGAACATCAGGATATCGACACTGTCCATAACTTTCAACTGGAGGGGATATCTGGAAGCAGATAATGTCCCCATCTTCAAGCTGGAAATAGGAAAGCAGACAGGGTAAAAGCTGCAACTAAAGGGAAGTACATAATTATGCCACCAAGCAAGTACATGTGCAAATTATATACCTGGCTAGCTCGAAATGTGAGTTTTTTGTCAATGTGTTCACACATGACACTTGGCTCAAACTTTATTTCCTGACCATCAGAAATTGATGAAACAATTTAAATAAGTAAATTTCACATTTATACATCAGGATACAAGGTAATAAATAGCAGTGCAACTTTTGCCAGGTTGGGTTGGGAATATGTTTAACTTTGAACGGCCTTAGCCCAAACCCATGCCCAATTTAGTTGAAAATTTTCAAATCTGGCAACCTGATTTGCATCTCTAGCAGTAAATGAGGACATAGATAAAATATCATGCACAATCATTACTAAGACATTAGATAAAATAAAATGAGTTTTAGAAACTAACAGTAGAACAGAAACAAAAGACCAACCTCATAAAGTTCAATCTCCTCATTAGGAACAAATCCAGCCATCTCATTTAGTTTTGCTATGATTTCAGCTGGCTTACCAGCACCCTTTACAAAGAATCTCCCAACATACCTGACACCATAGAACAAGACCATGAATCCACATGCAATTCTATCATTCAGACAGTAGTAAAAAATGGAACTAAAAATAAAGAAAAATGGAAAAGCTTAAAGAACAATGGAAAAACTACTACCGAAGCTCTTCTTTCACAGGATCATAAAGCTTGAAGAAAAGCAAAATATCTTCTTTTGTCTTATCTGGAGGAGGAATTGGTCGTAAATCCTGTATTATCATGGAGAAAACAAATAATCCCAGAAAGGAAAATAAAAGCCCACTACCACAATTAGAAATCAATCATAATGAAAAATCCAAGTAAATGTAGTGCCTTCATTAAGAGACATTTATTACCAGCCCAAGCTCTACTTCCAAGAACAACTTGAGTTCTGCATTGTGTGCCTTATTTGATACCTCTCTCAACTGACCAACCTACATTGCAAAGAAAGGTTTTAGTGAGACAATGTGAAATACCTGTTCACATTACAGATAGCAAGGCACAAAACAAGATAAAGCTGTCCTAAAAAAATGAAAAATATACATTGTTGCGTCACAAAACATTGACAATAAATACATCGAAACATGACTAAAACTGGCCTTAATTGTACTACATCCAGCCAATTGTGGCTATACATTCAAATAAGTTGAACAGCCCACTGACAGTATTAGTGAAGAACCAGGTGAAGAATACACTAAGCAATCTAAAAGTGATCAGCATGAAAGGAATAACAGCCAACAATGGGAACAACGAATAGTACAAGCTTTAAAATCCAATCAAGGTCATGGCATTCAAGTTCATATTAACGGATTTGATGGTGAATTGGAACATGAAGAGTTTCTAGCTTGGTTGGACAACATTGAAAATTATTTTGATTGGAAGGAAAAGAATGAATAAAGAAAAGCAAAGCTTGTAACAGCAACAACATTGGATTGGTAAAAAAGTTATCGAATGGACGGAGAAAGAAAGGGGAAAAGAAAGGCTTGTTCTTGGGGAAGAATGAAAGAGAAGCTGAAATAACAATTCTTACCATTGGATTATGAGCAAAATATTTACCAAAAGGTGCAGATATAGTTAGTAGATATAAAAAAGGTTAGTAGATTACACAAAAGCATTTAATAGACTAAGTCTTCAAAGTAATATGACAAAACCTAACAAGCAAAATGTTAGTAGAAATATAAAAGGTTTGAGGTCCAATACAAGATCAAGTCAGCCTACATTTCCTGTATAAGGTAAAGGATGCATATCAACTAGATTTGAAGGTTGAAGCTCAATTGAGTCATAGTTGTCAATGCATCACTTAGGCCACTAGACGCCCTTGGCCGGTCACCTCACCCAAATGCCTTCACTTTTAGCAACTAGGTGACTAGGCGCCCACCTAGGCAAGAAAAAATGACCAAGGCGGGCGCCTTTGTAATATCACTTGAATTGTTGTATCTTATTAATCACACACACACACACACACACACATATATATATATATATCAATTAACTTTGCTTTAATGTTTTACTATTGAAATTTAAAAGATGAAAAGATGGAGAGAAAAAGAAAAAAAAAAGAATAGAATTATAAAGAGGTTCTTTTTTTATTCTCTCTCTAATTAAATAAAACTGAAACCACATCCTTGTTTTTTTCTATTTTACATTCCATCTTGAACATTTCTCTACTAAATCCATATTATAGTAGTATTATTTTTGAAAATAATGAAATTAATATATGTAAAAGATTTTTATCTTTTATATGAGATGATTTGCCACATTTTTTGAAGAAACTTAATGTTCTTAATAAAGAGAATGGTATATAAAACTAGGGAACTAGGTGCCTACCTAGGCGACTAGACAACTAGGTGTCCCAGTGTCACCCAGAATCGCCTAGACACCTTTAACACTATGGAATTGAACCGGAGCTCAAGGCAAAAACTAAGTGATGTCCAAGATACATTATCATCAGTAGGTCAAAGTATTGGGGCTAGTAGGGATTGTGTGATCAATCAAACATGGCCTACAGCCCAAGGAACCTCAAATACAGAAAAGAGCAATCAGGGGCAGACTACTAATAAGATGTTTCAGGTGTATGGAGTTGGAACATCACTCTAATGAACGTTGTAAGAAAGAGATTTAAGGGCAGAAACATTTGATTGATGAAGTTCTTGATGACAACAAGATGAAATACTCATGTTGAGGATGGGAAAGTGGTTGAAACTACTAAATCTAATGCTTTAGAGGAAGAAAAGTTGGAAGGGGACATTGAGGGTGAAGCTCTAGTGATACAGCACTCCAAGGTTGCAGCTCAAGAACCACTTCCTAGGAACTAGTTGAGAAAAAATATCTTTAAAACACATTGTACAACTGGCGGTACTGTGTAACTTGATTATTGACAACGGGAGTACTGGGAACCTTGTTTCTCAAGAGATGGTGGATAAATTGCAGTTCAAGATTGTTCAACACCCCTAACCATATAACATTTTGTGGCTCAACAACAGAAATGAGGTAAGAGTTCCTTCTAAATGCTTAGTTAATTTCTCTATTAGTAATACATTTGAAGAATCAATATTGTGTGATGGTATCCCAATGGACAAATGTCATATTCTTTTGGGATGCCCATGGCAATAGGACCGTAAGAAGATAACTCTTAAACCAATGCAACTTGATTCACTTTCAAATAAGGAAACTAAGCCAACCACTACCCTTCTTCACCTCAAATAAATTAGCTCAAGAAGATGGGAATTTGAATGTTGTGTATGCACTGGTTACAAGAGAAGTTAGCAAAGAAACACCTGTTCTGTTGGGATACTGCCCAACGCAAGCTTCCCTTCGAGGGTGAAGCTGCCTCCTGAATCAAAATAGATGGGAGAGAGAGAGAGAGAGAGAGAGAGAAATTGTATTCCTTGGGGGTCGAATTACTCTAATTCAATCCACCCTTGCAAATCTCACAATTAAGTTCATTTCCGTATTTAGGATGCAGCAAAGGGAGGTGATGAAAGTAGAGAAGATGATGAGGGACCTTTTGTAGGAGCCCAGAGAGGGAAGGAATGATCATTTAGTTAGATGGGAATTAGTTTGCAAGAGAAAGGAGCAAGGGGGTTTGGGATTGGAGAGGGAAAGACTTTGGCACAAGTTGTAGGGAGTATTCATGGAGAAGGCAATGGTTGAGATACTGGCATTTTTCGAAGGGCTAGGTTGAACTCTCCTTTGAAGGCAATCTATGGCGCTCTTCCACATTTCTTGTACTTAGCCAATTCAAAGATTTGTCTCCTTCTCCTTGTCTTCGGGTTTCAGTTGGGATTTGGGATTCAAGAGAGATTTAAGAGATTCTGAGCTTGACCAGATAACACAGTTACTTTGCTTGATTGAGCTTATCTGTTTGGACCATTCTAAACTGGATGCTCATATTAGGTCCCCTAATCCTTTGGGTACCTTCTCTTGCACCTCCTTTTGTTCTTCTTTATGCTCTGTCCCTAGATCTTAGCCTTTCCCTTGTAGAGAGATCTAGTCTAAGCCTATCCCCCCCCCCCCCCCCGCTAAGGTGGGAACTCTTTGTTGGGAGTCCTCACTTGAGAAACTAAACACCTTGGACAACCTACAAAGAAGAAGACCTTTTCTCAGTATCTCCCCCAATTGGTTTGTCCTCTACAAAGCAAATGGAGAAAATCGTTACCATTTACTAACATCCTATCCTTTTGTTCTATGTCTCTGGGAAAAGCTTTTCAGTCTCTTCGGTTGCAGGTGGACAATGCCAATGCAGATTAGCAATCTATTTTAACCTACAACTTTCAGGTGGCCTAAGAAAAAAGGTAGAGTCATTCATAAAAAAAAAAAAGAAAAAAGGTAGAGTCTTGTGGAGGTGTGCTAGGATTGCACTGGTTTAGACTGTTTGGGAGGAAAGAAATGCCAGGATCTTTGATGAGAAGGAGAGGAATGAGATCATTGTATGGGAATGCTACAGTCATTAATTGGGTAAAGACCTCGGAACTCTTTTTCTCCACTCTCCTTTGATGAATTATGAAGAAATTAGGAAGTGGTTGCCAAAAGCCCTAGTATGAGACCTAAACCGTCAACAGAATGGAAACCTCCTCAAGAGGGAATCATTAAGCTCAACTTTGATGGCAGCAGTTTATGCAATACAGAGGGGCTAATCATTGCTTTATATTCTGACCCTATAGAAGTGGGGTATTCAGTCAAATCAGAAAATCAAGCTTACAAGGAGCTGAATTTGTCAAAGAACCAAATTGTGAACAACTGTTAATCAAAGGTGATTCCAAGTTGGTGATCCAGTGATTAAAAGAACCAGAAACAACAACCTGGTCCTATAAAGGGGCTTTACGACGATTCAAATGGCAAACTAAAAACAAGGGGTGCATAGGAATCAGATGTTTTGGGCTAAACTCTATTTCTTTGCTTTAATCTGAGGCTGCATCTCGTGCCTCATTTTGGGAACTGTCTGTGTATCATTTATGCTATTAATCTATTAATAAAATCACTCATTATTCATCAAAAGAAAAATCTCTTTTCATATTGCTCAATTTGCTCTTCTACTTGTAACAGCCATATGACATATTATTACAGCTAACCACTTGCTACTTGTAATGCAGGAGCTGAAGAATCAAATATGGAATTTCTTAAATTCTTTTGTATTTTTTGTATATTTGGACAGTATGGGTATTTTCAACATTTTAACTAGTCCTGTGTGGGCCTGGTAGATAAAAAGTTATTGTGTTTCTTGATGCACAAGACAACGAGTGGCACTTTTTGTAATTATGGTGAACAGTATCCCGAGCCACACAAGCTACTCTATAAATAGGTGTATCCTATTGAGGCTAATTAATGAATGAATGAAGATTTCTCAAGAGCTCTCTAGGAGTGATTCCAACAAACCCTAGAGTGATTCTAGGACCCCTTGGAGTGATTCCTTGGGATTTCTCTCTGTTTTCTCTTTATCTACCCTTTCTACTCTCTCTTTCTCTCTTGTGTTGTTCCAGCCCTACTGCATCAATTTGGCTTCTTAATCTGTTAACTCAATTGAATCGTGATTAGTTGCCAACTGTTTCTTGATTAGTTTTGCTTAGCTGTCCCTATGGTTGAGTTCGCTTCTTCCTCTTCTTTTTAAAGTTTTTAATTGTTGTCCTTGTATTTAATTATTTGAAACAATATTTTGCCATATCATGTCACATGGTTGGGTAATGGTATACAAAATAGAAAAAAGGCATAACATAAAATAAAAACAATGAAGGACCACATCAAATAGTGAAAATTGCAAGTCTTTGAAAAGCAAACATCATCATTCCTCATCTCAACCTATCTGACCTACCCTTTATACTTGTAAAAACAAGAATATGACTAAACATTCTATATCATGCTTTAATTGCATATTTGTAATTTGTATTGAGTATTGAGTTATGTATCATATTGTATCAATTTTTTTTATTTAGAACATATAATTTTTGTAGTCTACTAGTCATCACCTCACATATTGACAACACTACATATATCTAGTTTACTTGCATGGTTCTAAGTCAAGGCAATACAAATGGTTTATGAGTATGTAACAAATTATGTATAGAGACTACTTATGTAGTATCATTCAAATAAGTTGTGTAAAACAACTTTTTACTAGAACTTAAATAAGTTGATTACAACCCGGCCCAGGGCAACCCCAGTCTAAATCCTCTCTCCCAACACCACTATTTTAAAAGCACACAGGCCATACCTTAAAAAAAAGAAACAAAGGCCATATCAAAAAGTGCAAAAAACAAAAAAAAGGCACACGCTTAGGCTGAGGTGCAAGGTGCACGCCTAGGCAGACCAAGGCGCATGCTTTTTGAAAGTGCTGCACCTAGGATATAGGCAAGCCACATACCTTAAAATGCACCCCGCCTGTGTGCCTAGGCATGCCTTTTAAATAACTGCCCAACCCTTTCTCTGGCCAAGAAACCTGCCAACAGATTAGCACTCCTAGGCATTCAGTTGAACAAGGAGTTCAAAGAAGCAACTAAGGAGCAAGCCAACCTCACTCAATGCCTGGAATCCCATAGGATTTTTTCTCATGTATTCATCCAAAGAATGATAGTTTGACAATCACATTCCATTGCCACATTTCTCAAACCCTGCACCTCCAATAATTTCAAACCTTGGATTAAAGCCAATAACCAAGCCATCCAGGATCCTACTGTTATTTTCCAATGGAAAAGACAAGGGACCAAAAAGAAGTTGCATGTACTTCATACAGATATCATTGCAAAAATTATATATTTGTATATGTACTCAGTTGTTATCTTGCCTAATTAAACCCCTCAACCCACAAAAAATAAAAATTAAATAAAAAATCAGTACTTGCTTCAAACATTGGATTCTTGCATCAGCAAGGAAAAATAGAAATTGGTTATCAGTACTTTCTTCCAACATTGGAGTGTAGTTTGTGTAACTACAAACTACACATAGCCTGTTATTCCCTTAAACCTCCCCCCCCCCCAAATAAAAAAAAAAAAGAAAATCACATTTTCATTGGTAATATCAGAGTATTGCATGTTGTAATTTGCATCAAAAACAGAAACAGCTAGCTGTTGAAGTTTGCATCAAAATATGATCCAAGCATCAAACAAAATTTATGTACTCTTCAAAAATTTTGTTCATCATGTATCTAAATGTGTCCTTGCAGGTTTTGGTAACTGGTAAGTATAGTTGACTTTCTTTGCATGTCATGGACTAAGTTGAACAAAACCAGATCCCCTGATGCCCAAACAACCAACATTCAGAATAGCTTCTACCACTAATCCTGGAAAATAAATTAAAGATGACCCAAATTACATTTTTTTATCAATAAAAATATATTTTTATTAATATAAGATATGCCAAGAGCATTCCATTGTTAGGACATACTTCCACCTTGTCTTGAGGAAGCTTACACCTCTTGCGTTCTGAACCACACTTCATTCCTCCAAGTAGTTGTGTGCCCCACATCAGATCTCCATGTTTTAAAACATCGCTAGCACAAGCCTCCCTAAATAATATTCACAGATGCCACTCTACCAAAATATTAAAACTTAGTGCAAGTATACCTACCTCTAGATTTTACTGCTCTTGTATCAACTTCTCAGGAACTTTTTTGCACTAGGAAAACTCATCATTGAGGTGGGGTTGGGTTGAAGATGGGATCCAATTCCAGATTAGTCAGAACCGAGAACTACGTCCAAACACTTTACCCGATGAGCAAGTTGGCACCTTTAGTTCTTCTTGGGGACATTACATTCACAAAATCACTTACCAGCTTAAACCAGAGGTTATGGTCTTTAAATTGCTCTAATATAGAAACCCACCAAATAATAATGAAATTCATAATGGAAGGCAATTAGTTTCAAATTTGAGATTTTCAAATGACATCCTTTTCCTCCCACCACAATTTGCCAACATGGCATGGTCATGATACATCCCCTAAAACCTTCTCTTAATCTGTATGCAGCATTGAGCATTGCAAGTTCATCACATTAAATTTCTGAGATTTTCAAGGACTGCACTAAAACAATAAAGCTGGAGAAAAAACCAGAAGAATTAGCAAGCCAAGCATGCAATACACAAAGGCATTACATAGTACAGATTAATTTGAATATTCTTCCTGGGTTACAAAGATTAGTAAGGAGTTTGCCTATGACTTGCAATGACAATTGCTAAATTAGAGGAAAAAGGGGAACTTTCCACAGCTAAGAAAATGAAAATCCAGAAGAATCATAACTATCCCTCTCACATTGCGATAAAAGGAACCAGCGGAGAACATACTAAATACCTATTTCTACATTCTATCTCATCAGGAAACCCTCTCAATCTCCATCCTCCCCAACTCAAAAAAGAAATAAAAAGCTCACGCATTCCATATAGGAACCTGTTAAAGTTTCAATTACATATATCAAACAAGAACAATAAGATCTGAAAATAAAAATTTTGGGGTCCATAAAAAATTAAACTAAGCAAAAAATACAAAAAAAAAAGATGTTACGTTAGGTCATATTTGTTTCTGCTTCATAATAACTCATAGAACATAAGAGTAGAATATCATACATAGACAAGAGATAACAGCAGAAAGTACTCACAGATTGTGCTTCTTCTTGATGTGTCAATGRCCGATTGGGGCGATAAGTATGGTTTTGACGCTTTGCCCAAAGCYAAAAACGCTGGAACTGCACTGGTATACCAAACTCTTTTGCAACCTCCTCCTGTTGACAGTTATATTAGGTTGACAACCACCAAATCATTAAGGAAAGACCACAACTCTAACAGAATAAGCTTTTTTTTATATCTTCTTTAACAGAATTAGCTTCATATTAACACATTAAATGATAGTCAAAGATGATGATACAAATAACGTTAATAAGAATGAAAATGATCAGACTAGTGGTACTCATATGAACAGACAAGTAGTGACTAAAAGATATATGGCTCCTCAAATTAATGTTCACAGATCAACTCTTTGCAACAGAAATCTGTGATGCAAAAGYATAACTAACAATACATATAGAAGCATTGCCAGATAACTTTGTTGCTACAATGCCTAAAAGAAGGCCATTACTCAATGTTGGTCCCAGGCACCTGCTATATGGGGTCTTGGGAGAGATAGACTGGATACGGTCCTAAACTTTGGCATTTCTTTTGTACAAAGTAACTGCCCTCAGATGCTAGAGTGCATAAGTATCAAATATGTTCAGAATAAATAGCATCATAACGGTTTTTTTGTCTTTAAACTCATTTGTAGTAGGGCCACCAAATAAGGGCACTATTGTAATTTGTTCTCAGATTAGAAATATTATGTCTGTGGGTGTGAATAGTAGCCAATACACCACAATCAAACAAATCCTCTTCTTCTTGGTATCAGAGCTCCTAGGTATCACAACTTGGTATCTGAGCACCTCTTGGTCATGGGCAGACATTTTTTACTGACTCCGTCTACAAGGGAGACCAGCTGGCGTCAGACCACTGATTTTAGAAACATTTTTGTATGACTCTTGTAGTCATTTGAAGCTTCTATAAGATATTGTGGTTTGCCCAGCAAAAATCGGTTAAAAATCTAGATTCAACGTTGGGCCTTTCTCTATAATATTGAAGGAATTTTTCAGCATGAAAATGTTGTGGACGCGTTCGTTGGGAAGAAGTACCACCGCCGGCAGCAGCAGTGATGAGGTGTCCTCATCAGATTATCTAGCTAGTCACAGTTCATCTTATCTATCTTATTTTATCTTATCTGTTTCTTACCGTATCTATTCCAATAAGATTTAGTAGAAGATTAGTAGGAGTCTGATTTATCTTAGGGAGTCTTATCTTTCTTAAGTTAGGAGTCTTATCTGTAAGCAGTCGAATTCAGCAAGGTGTCTTCCTACAAGGAGACTCTACCTCTTGTAATCTCCTATTTAAGGAGCTGCGAGTATGGAATAAGGCATCCAATTCAGTCAAGAAAGAAAGTAAGGGAGAGTTAGGGTGATCTCTTAAACAAATCACCCCCTTTAGGTCGCCACGATAGGGTCTGCACGAAAAGGGAGGGGGGCAAGAGGAAACTAGAGGTTCTCCCCATGGACCGACCCGTGACGAGATCCTATTCCCGGGCCCATAACATTTTGGTATCAGAGCCAAACGTCATGGGCGATCTAGAGCAGCTGACGTCCAGGGTCCACGAATTGGAGCACTGGCTCGTGGAGAACAACGCAGAGGTACATGAAGTCAAGGACGATGTCTGAGAGCTACGACGCTTGCTGGAGTCGTATTTCTCTAACAAGGAGAAGAGCCCCGAAGGAACTACAACCACAAACAGTCGCAGACCAGATTTGGCGGAATCGTTCGGCGAACAACAGATCGTCGCCCCGGCAGCCGTTGTTGTCCCCAAGTACAGTAGGCTGGAGTTCCCCTCGTACAACGACAACGAAGATCCACTGGGATGGCTATACCGTTGTAAACAATTCTTTCACAATCAGCATACGGAAGACAGAGATAAGGTCAGTCTGGATGCATTCCATCTAACGGAAGAAGCACAACCCTAGTTCTACCAAGTGGAGAAGGAGGAACCCGGGCTCAACTGGGGCCAATTTAAGTCCTACTGCCTCCTCAGGTTCGGGCCCCCATTGACGAGCAACCCGCTAGGTGAATTGATCAACCTCAAGCAGACAGGCACCGTGGCTGAATACCAACGCCAATTTCAGACCCTCCTTGCCAGAGCAGCCTCGGTACGACCGGATCAGCAGGTTAACATGTTCACCGCCGGATTAGCTGAACCCCTGAGGGTGGATGTGGAGATGCAACATCCTCCCAACCTGGTCACCGCCATGAACCTAGCTCGCGCCTTCAAACGTAAGCTACAGCTCAGCCGCGGGACCTTCAGTATGGGTCGACCGACGACATCATGGACACCCCCGAAGTCAACCGGGGTGGCCCCTTCTTCGGCAACCAGCAGGGAACAAAAACTTCACACAGGTATCGTTCCCAGGTCGGCATCAAGCACAGGAAGCAGCATGACGGCACCCCCCATCAAACATTTATCCAGAGCCGAGATGGCAGATCGTCGGGCAAGGGGGCAATACTTCAACTGCGATGAGCTATATTCGGCGGGGCACAGATGCAAGAGGCTATTCCGCCTTCTGGTGGACGAACAGGAGGAAGACGAGGATGAACCCGCAGCATTAGAACCCGAGATCTCCCTCCACGCAATCATCGGGATAAAGACCTCTCAAACTATGCAATTGTGGGCGCAGGTGGCAGGGAAACCAGTACGTATCCTCGAAGATTCGGGAAGCACGCACAATTTTGTAAGTGAGCAAGCTTCCCTTCAGTTGAAACTACCCATGGAAATCAAACCGCAACTGCAGGTAGCCGTTGCAAGAGAGAGGGTTCACAATCCCGGAATCTGTAAGAACATTCAAATACAGGTCGAATCTGAACCCTTCTCTGCTGATTTATTTGTGCTACCCTTGGATGAATTTGATATAGTACTTGGAGTTAAATGGTTGATCACCCTAGGCCCTATCCTATGGGATTTCAGCGCCCTAACAATGTCATTCCGCCTGAATGGAAAACAAGTTACTTGGCAGGGAACCAAAGCAAAGGCAAAAAAACCGCAAGTACATACACTTCAAGGCAAAACTATGCACACAGCAGAGATGGAAAGACTCCTCACCGACTTCTCAGATATATTCCAAGAACCCAAGGAACTTCCACCCGCCCGAGCTTGCGACCATCGGATCCCTCTGATAACGGGTTCAAAGCCGGTCGTCGTCCGGCCGTATCGCTACCCACATCTGCAGAAGGACAAGATAGAGAAGTAGTGTACGAACATGATGAAACAAGGAATCATCCGTCTTAGCCGCTCCCCCTTCTCCTCATCGGTTTTATTGGTGCCAAAGCGAGACGGTACTTGGAGATTTTGTGTGGATTACAGAGAGCAAAATAACAGAACCGTCAAGGATAAATTCCCTATCCCCGTGGTGGACGAGCTGTTGGATGAACTCCATGGAGCCCAGTACTTCTCAAAACTGGACCTCAGATCGGGATATTTTCAGGTCCGGATGGCCCCCGAGGATGTGGAGAAAACAGCCTTCCGAACGCATCATGGTCACTTTGAATTCTAGTTATGTTGTTCGGTCTCACCAACGCCCCATCCACATTCCAATCTCTGATGAACGAGGTATTTTAGTCCCACCTTCGCAGATTCGTCTTAGTGTTCTTTGACGACATCCTCGTCTACAGTAAATCATGGATAGAACACGTGCATCATCTACGGACTGTTAGAAGAAATTAGGAGCACGCTGCCCCAATCACCAGAATGGAGAGACCTTGTTCAGAAAATACAATCCGGAACGACCGACTCGAATTGGTCCGTTCACGACGGGTTGGTGCTATACAAAGGACGGATATACCTCCCAACCGACTCTTCTTTAATTCCCTCCGTCATCTCCAATATACATAACTCCACCCATGAAGGCATTCAGAAGACATTGCATCGCGTCCGAGCCGATTTCCATTGGCCAGGCATGAAGACTTCTATTCGAGACTTCATCCAGAACTGCTCCACGTGCCAACAGCACAAATGGAAAAACCTACACCCGGCAGGCCTTCTCCAGCCCCTTTCACTTCCAACACAAATCTGGATTGATATCTCTATGGATTTCATTGAGGGCCTACCCAAGGTTGGCGGGAAATCTGTTCTATTTGTGGTGGTGGATCGCTTTTCTAAGTATGCCCATTTCATCCCCCTGTCCCATCCGTAGTGTGGTTTCAGTTGCCCATGTTTTATTTACGCATATTTTCCGCTTACATGGGCTACCGGAATCCATCGTCAGCGACAGGGACCCAGTTTTCACTAGCGCCTTCTGGAAGGAACTGTTTCGGTTGCATGGTACGACCCTAGCTTTTTCCTCCGCCTACCACCCTCAGACAAATGGTCAAACAGAGGTAGTGAACCGTGCGATCGAGATGTATCTCCGTTGTTTTGTGGGAGACCAACCATGTCGGTGGGTTGATTGGCTTCCCTGGGCCGAATATTGTTATAACACGGCCTATCATTCTTCCCTTGGCATGACACCCTTCCGGGTCGTCTATGGCCAAGACCCTCCTCGCTTGTTATCCTATGAGCCCGATTCGACGCGGTTGGATGAGATTGATTGTTCCCTACAAGAACGTGATGCCCTCCTAGCTGAAGTGTCTCTCCGCTTGCAACAAGCACAATCACGCATGAAGAACGCCTATGACTAGCACCATCGAGAATTAACACTTGAACCAGGACAGTTTGTGTGGTTGAAGCTCCAGCCCTATCGGCAACGCTCCTTGAGACACAGGGCTCCCCCTAAATTAGCTCCTAAATTTTATGGACCCTTCAAGGTTTTGCGGCGGATCGGCATAGTTGCATATCAGCTAGAACTGCCAGAGCACAGCAAACTCCATGATATTATCCATGTATCCCTGCTCAAGCCATTTACGGGCACTCCTCCTGACCAAGTACCCCCACTACAACCCTTGAAGGACGGCAGACCCATTCCCCAACCTCGAGCTCTTGTCCGATCTAGAGTCAATCGGGGTGTTCTCGAAGTCCTAGTGGAATGGGATAACTTACCATCGGCCGAGGCCACCTGGATCCCCTTGACTGATCTCCAAGGCACATATCCAGATCTCGAGCTTGAGGACAAGCTCGTCGCCCAGGAGGGGCGTAATG